ACACAACACAACATCAAACCGCCCCACACCATCCACACCACACAAAAAACCAAACCCCAACAACACCAACGCCAATGCCCAATAACAATAACCCACCTTTCCCCCTCCCCACCACCACAAATTCACAGTTTGATCAAACCCCCCAACCACTTAACCACCTCACCCCCACCCCAGCCCCCCACCCCCCAATCCCCACCACCCCCAACACTTCAACCTCCCCCCACCCCCTCTTTCTCACCATCCTCTCCCCCACAATCTACACACAACCACCCCTTCTAAACCTAACCCTACGTGTGACCCCACATCGACACCTCAACCGCGTTGTCCAACACCAAAACCACAACCCCCGCAGCATACAAGTATAATAACTACCATATTACCACACCCTACGCCAGTTCCTCCATCTCTAAAAAACCACCATAACCCCACCACACCACCCCCTCCTCCACCAACCCCTACACACACATTCCAAGTAAGCCTCAACCCCACAATTTAATCCCACCACAACCCAATACCCGCCAACTTTTTATGACAAAACCCCCGACCACACCCCCTCCTCCCCAGTCACAACACCACCCACAACCTCCCACCAACCATGTCGCCTCTCACCCCCGATGACACTGCCCAATCCTACTCTAGTGTCGCCTAAATCTCTGCACGCCCTCCCCCCTTCCATCCTCCTCAAACCCCCCCCCCAATAAACTCCCAAAACTCATCACCCCTTACCACTCCACACAAACCACCAACCACTGGCACAAATCTTATAGCACTCAACCCGATTATGAAGATCCCACTCAATCCCTCAAGATCCACGTGCCCAACAAAATATTGTAAACACTATCTCCGACCAATCATAACACGAGAAGCCATCTCCCCCCCCCACCTAAAATTCCATGTTAGTAATTAAAAAGTAATCCCAATGTTACCACGCGAGACCACCACCTGTCCCCACGAACATACTCCAATTCTATTCGTAATGTTGCACTCTCCGCTCCACAGTGATATTAGAGCCCAACGCTCCTCTTCGCCATGCAAGTGTAAAGACTGTCATTTGTTCTTCCCCCTGCGCCTATAATGTAACCCAAACTCTCCTACCCACGTATCACATAGATCGCGCTAAGAGACACATGATCTGTCGCAATTCCTAGTCTCCGATCTCAGATAGAATAATCACCACCAAAATCCCCACCCCCTCCACCACTCCCCACCCCCCACCAACCTTAACCAATTCAAACAAAACACTCATGTCAGCACTACCATTTTTAAAGAATTCATCGCGCGCACACGTATAGTGTACCCACTTGATCCGATTACAACATGCGTACCTACTTATACCGACTACGAGAGATCTATGTTGCTGCGAGGTTATCGACATCCTCCGTCCTAGACCCTCATCCTACTGTGCTCGGATAGCTATCAGTTCTCACACTTCGATCCTTGTATATAAGACTTCAACTATTCCTATTCGAGCCTTAGAATTGATGCGCCACCCTAAGAACACAGTAGATCTGAGCGAGTATGGCGATGAGGCCTCGCCTACGGCGCATAGGCCACAGCGCCGCCACGGTTGCCGTGAGTAACGGCACAAATGGTGTATCGGTGTAGCGCCTCACCTAGTCTCAACGATGATGATCGTGCTAGTATATCGCGCTTCTGTTCATGGCTCAGGAGAATTGCGTATGATCGAATGTATTATGAGCCTTTGTCGCCATTATGTGCTTCGACATACTACAATCCGATGTTATAGTGTGAGCACGTAGTTGAATCTGCTATACTCAAGCCGCAACAATAAGTGTGCCCGTGATGTACCATCTCGTGAGTCTCCGGCCACTATCGCGCATGTTCCTACGCTCTCAGTGTCGAACGAGCCTATATAGAGAAGGATTCTGCTTATCAGGCCAGAAGCAGTCGGTTGGGAGTTGAGTGGAGCCCCATCGGTAGCGCGACTTTAGCGCTTACTCGCATGTGAGTCGTGCTCGTGAAGATGCTCTACATGAGCAGTGGTTATGTTGAGTACTCTCATGATGCATTCTCAATACTAACGTCCTCACCCATCCACTCTACTCTCCAATAACCGATTCGCACCATACTCTCAATCAAAATTCCTATTCACAGAATCTAATAGCTTTTCCCAATCGCCAGATCTAGATCTACCTCCTTATTTTAATACCCTCTGCAAGGAAATCCGACATACGCCATGACCTACAGATATCCTCCATCCCCGCTACCCAAACAGTCCCATGTATCACCGACCTAGCCCTTATCAGTCTATTACCCAAAATTTTCGCAAAAACCTGTATTCAGCGCATGAGTGTCAAAGATTATTGCCTGCCGTAAGCACTCAACTCTGTACCCCCCCCTTCTTTGGCACCCAGATATGACACCCCGTACTGTTTGCCCCGCCCAAGGCAGCCTAATGGTCCAATAGCGCCGGGGGGTGCGCGAGGCTGGTTGATCAGGCGCTGATCCACAGGAGGCTGGTCACAGACCGGGCCGCGGGGGCGTTGACCCCCGAAACTCTCTCCAGGTAAACTCCAGGTAAACACCTTATACGTTAAATACAATTAACGTAATGTATTGAGAATAAGGTAAAAACAATATGTTCATCAAACACAGAATATATTAATAAACAAGGATCCAACACACTGACACCTCTACAAGCATCTAAAACATGCATATGAATAACATACATAGAACAATGTCCCACTGCAAAATCAAACACATATATTGAGTATACTCGTCACAAACCATGAATACACATCATACACCCAAGTTCATACACATTCACCCGCTACATACCAGGAGGCGACCCCGTTTCCACCCCTGACAGCCCATCAACATAACACATTGTACCATCCCTACCCTGCCCCACCCACCTAATTTACAATTTTAATAAAACCTCTAATGTAAGGTCTCTATATCCCTCAGAGAAATCCCGCTCCCACCTCCTCCCATAAAGTTCTCTATTACCCTTGAGAACGATATTCAGCCTACACATACTGCGTAGAATACAACTCAACACGCAAGTTGAGCAACTCGAATCACAAAAAAGAAAAAACGCAAGATTTACACTGAGGAATTTAAATATAAGGCTAAATAAATAGAAGAATGGCCGGGGATTCAAACCGTGGAATACCTGGAAAGGGTTTCAGGGGTCAACGCCCCCGCGGCCCGGTCTGTGACCAGGCTCATGGTGGATCAGGGCCTAATCAGCCAGGTTGTTACTGTTGGCCGCACGTAAACTGACGTACGAACCACAGCCCAGCTGATCAGGTATTGACTAGGTGTCTGTTCTACTAGGGAAAGTGGAAAAAATGATTCGTAGTGCCACCTTCTGTAGTGTCTACAGTAGGGTGGCCAGGCCTTAAACACCTATTATTATACATCAGTAAAGGTGTAGAACGTTTTACCTGAACATGTCAAGGTCAATGTTAATATAAACCAGTTCAGAAACAGCTAAAAGGTTGTTAATGACTGAAGCTACAAAGTGTTTTCTTGTTAACCTTTGTGTACCTATTAATATATATTAAGCTGATTTACTCTCTTTAATGTTCATGTAAACTAAGTTTATCCCTGTAGAATCTCTTTATTTTTATTAACTGGTTTCATGCAGTTGATTTATTTTATTTTATTTTATTTGCATGGTTATGATCACGACTGCTACTGTATCTACTAGCTAGGCTGCTAATACTAAGATTTTTACAAGGAACCCAGTGGAAATAAGTCAGTGACATTTTTTTGGGTTATAGTTAGTAGTTGACACATACGTTATCGTGTAAAGTAATTGTAGTAACCAAAAACCTGTTTAATTGTAGTTATATGTAAAGTAAAAGGACACAAGTGCAACTAATGTGACATTTATTGTGGCAACGTTTCGCTCTCCAGGAGCTTTATCAAGCTTGATAAAGCTCCTGGAGAGCGAAACGTTGCCACAATAAATGTCACATTAGTTGCACTTGTGTCCTTTTACTTTACATATTGTCGGTAATTCTACCAACTTTATTAGTAGTTATATGTAATTGTATCAGAATGAACTTATTAATTTTAAACATGTGACGCTGCTCAGAAGAGGCTTTCTCAAGTTATCTCACATTACTCAAAATTGGGAATGATCTATATAAAATCTACATGGTAAAAACTGCATAAACATTTCCGTCGTTATTGTACACCAACGTTGAAAATTTGAAGTCGATCGGATGAGACGTTCTTGAGTTATAATCGAAAAACCTTCGCAGAAAAAAATCAGGCAACCATGTAAAGTGCTCTTTCGATGATATCTAATATTAACAATTTGAACGAATCTTGCCAGCTAGTTTGTTATATGAACGTGCTTGAGGATGAAACAAAAATCTTATGTAAATAAATCATAAAAATTACGGTGGATCTCTACGAGTTGATACACGGATGAAGAAATTTAATTAATGTAGATAAATGCTGAGCAATGGAAATGTGAGAAACCTTAAACAGGCTTTAAAAAAAAACATGAGATTGATGATCACTGTAGACTTCCATTAATATTTAGTGTATGCTGACGCATTGTATTGCAGCTTAAGTATTTAACAAATAATTTTGTAAACTGTTTATTTTCAGAATTTATGATAATTCCTTTGTATTATCTATAAAAAACTAATTTAATTTTCTTAATAACTGATAATTTCGAGTAAATGATTGCTGGATTACTGATGCTGCTATAATGTTGAAACTACAAAGAAGGGATAGCGAGCCACTTATCCCTCCAGCCTCTTCTGATGCTAATTATGCTATAATGTATTTGTGATAATATTTTGGTAACTTACTCATGATAAAATATCGTTCTGTGAAGCTTATTATTGTGCTAGGGGTACCCTAAACATTATTAATATAAATTTGTTTGTGGAATGAAAATTACTTTACATTTATCAACAACAAGGTGCATCTGCCTTATCATTATCTTATCACCTCTTGGATGTGTACCATGTTTATAAATGATAAAGATACTCACAAAGGTTGTTTTACTGAAAAAGACAAACAGAACATTATTGATCGAGGTGATACAGTACTGTGGTGTCAGCAGCAAGGTGACTCTTTTAACTGTTTATTTCTTGGTTGGTTTATTAGGTATAAAGACTACATGAGGGTCAGTAACTGTAAATAACATGTACACCATCAGTCAATATTATAAAACCTTTAACTAGCGTATATACACTGAACGTTACACACATCTCCGTGTATATACCCTTGAACTTCCTGTTTATTTCAGTAACAATATCACATTATCTTAATTATTAATTTTACTTTTTATTTATATAGTACATGTATTCATATACATTGTATATTTTTATTTAAAACTTACAAATTACAGTACAGCATCTATATATTTTTCTTTACTTTCAGCTTTTTTTGAAACAATGGAAGAAATCTTCACACTTAAAGAAAAGTTATCTTCTGTAAGTATCAAGTATATGAAAATTGATGATAGGACTTTAAAGCGATATTTGAAGGCTTTTCGCTCAGTGGATGCTGCATATGAAGTAAGTTAAATAATATTTTAGATTATATTTGCTTAAACTCTGGTATCTAGATTCTTGTAGAAAGATAATTATATATTTGTAATTACTGGAGCAGAGCAAAATTTGTGGTGTCCTACCTGTACTATTTCTTTTCTTTGGTTGTAGCATTTACTACTTCCTTTTGTAAACCATTTTACTGTTCTGCCTCTATGTGATGAACTTAAATGTATATTACCTGCAAACTTTCTTATTTTTTTTTTTTGCAACTATTGCCTCTTCTGCCAATTGAAGATGTTAGGAAACTTTTCTTGTCTTCTCAATCTTGTTAGAGTTCAGTCTGCGGGTCACTACATGTGTAAGCCAACTATTATCGCAGCAGAACTATGACCTCCAGAAGCCTAGTTTTTTAGTTTAATATGTTTATTATGCACCCCATACCCATCCTGTGGGCGGTAGTCAAAAGATCCGCCCTATTCTGATCGAAATGGATGGCAATTTAAGTTGGCACGTTACGTCAGATGTGTGCCCACGGGTTGAGACAATCTAAACTATATCCGTCACTCGTTCTAAGTCATAGGATATAAGCCACGTTAAATTTTGAGGAAAGGGTAACTATCCCTGCTATTTAGACCGAAAAATGGATTACTGGGTTCTTAGGCGATCGGGTGGCTCAAACCTCACCACCACAGTTAGTTTAATGTCTATTATGCGCCCCATACCCGTCCTGTGGGAGGTAGTCAAAAAATTACAAAAGCACAAAATTGGTTCAGCGACTGGGCTGCAAAGTTTTGATAACTGAACAACTTACTGATAATTAATTATTTACATATTTATATCAAGTTACAGTCGTAATGAGTTATTTGTGCAGACGTGAATTAGGTCATACAAAAATATTACTTTATATTTTAGAAAGGTATGTTTGTAATAACAATAATAAAAAAGTTTAAGTGGTTATGCGTTATTTACAGTTGGCAAAATAAGGTGACCCAATGTCGGGGGATGTTGCCAACAGGTGGGTTTCTGTAAAATTGTGTAGCTTTCCTGAATAAAGCTTATCTTTATCATATTACCTTTTGCGGCCATTATAACACCAAGACAACTGTTGCCAACTCCATTCTCACCGTCTGCGAGATATTTTCGAGCTGAAACTAATCCAGTGTAAAGAACATTGATTTAAAATTTATTACCTTCATATACAGTAGAACCTCTGGTCACGACCATAATTCGTTCCAAAACTCTGGTTGCGACACGATTTGGTCGTGACCCGAACCTAATTTTCCCATTGGATTGTATGCAAATACGATTAATCCGTTCCAGACCTCTATGACCTGTATGTAAATATTGTTTTTATAAGATTTTTAAGCACAAAAACAGTTAATTATACCATAGAATGCACAGTGTAACAGTAAACTTAATGTAAAAACCTTGAATGACACTGAAAAACCTTGATCAATAGAGAAAACTAACATTGCACAAGTCCGTTTTAGACCCCTACGAAGTTAGTTTAATATCTTTATTATGCACCCCATACCTATCCTGTGGGCGGTAGTCAAAATATTACAGAGGACCTCTACGAATCGTCCGCTGTAAACAGTTTTTTTTTAAGAGTTTTAAGAGATGTCTAATGGCTGAGAGGTGAACTCCGTTATTTATCGCCCGATTTCTTTCGTTTTTGGTGTACGTTAAGAAGCATCTTTCTATCATACATTGCCCAAGTTTCAATAAGATAGCCCAACAAACAACTGAGGAAAAAAATATTTACCGAAAATCATATATGGCAAGCCCTAGCCGGGTACTGGCACTGGAGAAGCTGTTTGTGCACTACCTGCTGATAAAACATTGCATATCCGAATTCATCGCGGTTCTAATTACTGTAATTTATGAATAACTTCCGAGATAATCGACGAAAACGAGCGTGCACCGAAAAAAATCGAGAAAATAAGTCACTGACGTTTTTGGGTTATCCTAGGTTCTCTATGTTTAGTAGTATCTATGTAGCTGTATTTATGTATACCTGAATAAACTTAGTTTTATGGTGCATTACGAGTGTATATCACAGTTAGCACTGTACTACACTACGTTTTCTCTAATGTAAGTACCCAGAATGATATAAGAGGATGCTACCTTAAACCTTATACTCGAGTTCAGAGCGAATAAACCCATGTCTGGCTGAGACCGACTACAAGGCGAGGGTCTTTGTTAGGCGTACGCAAACAACAGGAAGTGGGGAAAATTGGCGCATGCAAAAAATTGTGAAAGTTGTCATGGCTGTGTTTGTTCGGCACCCGATTATGTGTTCGTGACCAGATGCAAAAATTTGGCGAATTTTTTGGTCGTGAACCGATTTGTTCGTGTTTGGAAGTGTTCGTGACCAGAGATTTCACTGAATAGAGTATTACTGAAATTACAGTGTACAAGAATAATCCAATTTAAACTTACATTGTAGCATACAGAAAATATTAAACTCGAACTTTGCCAAGGTTGAATGAAGACTATCAAATGTTTATGATTATTTCTGAAAGATACATTAATTGGTTGCTTGAACTTTTTTTCTCCAAGGTGTTCCTTTTTAACTTAAGAATGCCTCATCCGATCGGCTTCGAAATTTCAGTGCTGGACTGCATGGTACCCATAAGTTTATTTTTAAAATGGTATTATATTCAATCCTCAGTGGCTAATGCTTTCGGATTTATGTTGTGTAGGTGCAGATTTACCAATTTAATAACATACGTAATCAATTTGGAATTGGATTCAGTGCGATAACTAGAGAAAATATCTTTGGGTCAGTTTCAAACTTTAAATGTGGTGTGTTTTCATCACAGGAAGCTTCGCATTGATTTTGGATTTTGTAAATATTAATTTCAGTTTCACTAAACTTCTAATCATCTTCAAACCTTGAATTGATTTGGGGATGTGTAGGTGCCAATTTGCCAATTTTAGTGAATAAATTGGGAAACTAAATACCGGTTTTCAGACGATAATTGGTGAAGTCTAATTCGAATGGCTTCAAGCCATAAACGCCACTTAATTGAGACTACAACTTTCGAACATCTTCAGACTTAAAGTTCAGGCATATTTTGGGATAACTAGAAAATGCCTCTTGTATAGTGTTTAATGGAAGGCTCATACTAAGTTTGATCTCTGTGGATACAAGTTTGCCATTTTTATTGAAGAAATTGGAATATTAATTTCCATGCGAATGTCTCTTCTGATTGGTTACAAATGTTCTTTACTGATATTTACCTACATTAGAAACTTATTCCGCACTCTATACTATTCACTTTGAGTACATTGAGGTAGAGTGGGCTGAGCTTATGGTATATGGGAATACCTTTCTCTGATCGCACAGTGAATGAAACTTATGCAGTTTGCATTATATATATTAAAATTTAAAGTTAGTATGTAGTATCAAGGAACGGAAGCATAGAATTAATTCCCCATGCTTATATATTATATAGTACTATAATTATATCTGAGAAAACTTTAAAGAATACAGAGTAATTTTTTTTTTCAGGGAATCTTGGTAACCAATGCTTGGAGACGAGATTTTGGTGTGGCAAATATCACCAGAGATACACCAGGGGTGAAGAGAGTCATGGAAACGAAAGTATGTGAAATTTTAAATCATCGAGACAAAAATCAACGACCTGTTGCATATGTAGCAGTTGAGAATCATAACATGCAAAGGAGAAATGTCGATGACATGATTCTGTATATAGTGTACATGTTGGTAAGTTTTTATGTACATTAAAGTTTGCTGGTAAACAAAAAATATGGATCACTTTATTATGACTGCCGCCTCCTTCCCGAAGATAGTGAAAAAAATTATACAGTTTTTCTCTTTGCAAATGTTTTAGTTTACACCAAAACTAACCGAGGAAGCAAATCTTTCTAGTATTTATGTACAGTAATATAAAATAAGGTTATTTACCTTATCAAGAATTTGCACTTCTTTTATTTCACTAGTTTCCTTGAGGAAGGGGGGTCTAATATTCAAGTGATCCAAAAGGATTGTTAAATATATCCATTTCTTGTGCTCTCTGAATAATTTCTGTTTTCGGTGTCTCATATTCATAGGTGGATTAGGTTCTCTGAACATCGTGAAAATTCCCTGTGAGCATTACCTGGAGTTTACCTGGAGAGAGTTTCGGGGGTCAACGCCCCCGCGGCCCGGTCTGTGACCAGGCCTCCTGGTGGATCAGCGCCTGATCAACCAGGCTGTTGCTGCTGGCTGCACGCAAACCAACGTACGAGCCACAGCCCGGCTGATCAGGAACTGACTTTAGGTGCTTGTCCAGTGCCAGCTTGAAGACTGCCAGGGGTCTGTTGGTAATCCCCCTTATGTGTGCTGGGAGGCAGTTGAACAGTCTCGGGCCCCTGACACTTATTGTATGGTCTCTTAACGTGCTAGTGACACCCCTGCTTTTCATTGGGGGGATGGTGCATCGTCTGCCAAGTCTTTTGCTTTCGTAGTGAGTGATTTTCGTGTGCAAGTTCGGTACTAGTCCCTCTAGGATTTTCCAGGTGTATATAATCATGTATCTCTCCCTCCTGCGTTCCAGGGAATACAGGTTTAGAAACCTCAAGCGCTCCCAGTAATTGAGGTGTTTTATCTCCGTTATGCGCGCCGTGAAAGTTCTCTGTACATTTTCTAGGTCGGCAATTTCACCTGCCTTGAAAGGTGCTGTTAGAGTGCAGCAATATTCCAGCCTAGATAGAACAAGTGACCTGAAGAGTGTCATCATGGGCTTGGCCTCCCTAGTTTTGAAGGTTCTCATTATCCATCCTGTCATTTTTCTAGCAGATGCGATTTATACAATGTTATGGTCCTTGAAGGTGAGATCCTCTGACATAATCACTCCCAGGTCTTTGACGTTGGTGTTTCGCTCTATTTCGTGGCCAGAATTTGTTTTGTACTCTGATGAAGATTTAATTTCCTCATGTTTACCATATCTGAGTAATTGAAATTTCTCATCGTTGAACTTCATATTGTTTTCTGCAGCCCACTGAAAGATTTGGTTGATGTCCGCCTGGAGCCTTGCAGTGTCTGCAATGGAAGACACTGTCATGCAGATTCGGGTGTCATCTGCAAAGGAAGACACGGTGCTGTGGCTGACATCCTTGTCTATGTCGGATTATGAGGATGAGGAACAAGATGGGAGCTAGTACTGTGCCTTGTGGAACAGAGCTTTTCACCGTAGCTGCCTCGGACTTTACTCTGTTGACGACTACTCTCTGTGTTCTGTTAGTGAGGAAATTATAGATCCATCGACCGACTTTTCCTGTTATTCCTTTAGCGCGCATTTTGTGCGCTATTACGCCATGGTCACACTTGTCGAAGGCTTTTGCAAAGTCTGTATATATTACATCTGCATTCTTTTTGTCTTCTAGTGCATTTAGGACCTTGTCGTAGTGATCCAGTAGCTGAGACAGACAGGAGCGACCTGTTCTAAACCCATGTTGCCCTGGGTTGTGTAACTGATGGGTTTCTAGATGGGTGGTGATCTTGCTTCTTAGGACCCTTTCAAAGATTTTTATGATATGGGATGTTTAGTGCTATTGGTCTGTAGTTCTTTGCTGTTGCTTTACTGCCCCCTTTGTGGAGTGGGGCTATGTCTGTTGTTTTTAGTAACTGAGGGACGACCCCGTGTCCATGCTCCCTCTCCATAGGATGGAAAAGGCTCGTGATAGGGGCTTCTTGCAGTTCTTGATGAACACAGAGTTCCATGAGTCTGGCCCTGGGGCAGAGTGCATGGGCATGTCATTTATCGCCTGTTCGAAGTCATTTGGCGTCAGGATAACATCGGATAGGCTTGTGTTAATCAAATTTTGTGGCTCTCTCATAAAAAATTCATTTTGATCTTCGACTCTCAGTCTGGTTAGCGGCTTGCTAAAAACTGAGTCATATTGGGACTTGAGTAGCTCACTCATTTCCTTGCTGTCATCTGTGTAGGACCCATCTTGTTTAAGTAGGGGCCCAATACTGGGCGTTGTTCTCGATTTTGATTTGGCATAGGAGAAGAAATACTTTGGGTTTCTTTCGATTTCATTTATAGGTTTTAGTTCTTCCCGCGATTCCTGACTCCTAAAGGATTCTTTTAGCTTAAGTTCGATGCTTGCTATTTCTCTGACCAGTGTCTCCCTGCGCATTTCAGATATATTGACCTCTTTTAGCCGCTCTGTTATTCTTTTCCGTCGCCTGTAAAGGGAGCGCCTGTCTCTTTCTATTTTACATCTACTCCTCCTTTTCTTAGAGGAATAAGCCTTGTGCATACATCGAGTGCCACCGAGTTAATCTGTTCTAGGCATAAGTTTGGGTCTTTGTTGCTTAGTGTATCTTCCCAGCTTATATCGGTTAGGACTTGGTTTACTTGGTCCCACTTTATGTTTTTGTTATTGAAGTTGAATTTGGTGAATGCTCCCTCGTGACTAGTCTCATTTTGTCGGTCTGGGGCTCCTCGCATACATGTCTGAACCTCAATTATGTTGTGATCTGAGTATATTGTTTTTGATATGGTGACATTTCTTATCAGATCATCATTGTTAGTGAATATGAGGTCTAGTGTATTCTCCAGTCTAGTAGGCTCTATTATTTGCTGGTTTAAATTGAATTTTGTGCAGAGATTTAAAAGCTCGTGTGAGTGTGAGTTTTCATCAGAGCTGCCTCCTGGTGTTATTACTGCAACAATATTATTTGCTATATTCCTCCATTTTAGGTGCCTTAAGTTGAAATCCCCCAGGAGCAAGATGTTGGGTGCAGGAGCTGGAAGATTTTCCAGACAGTGGTCAATTTTTAACAGCTGTTCCTGGAATTGCTGGGATGTTGCATCCGGAGGCTTGTAGACTACCACAATGACTAGGTTTTGGTTCTCGACCTTTACTGCTAAAACTTCCACTACGTCATTTGAGGCATTAAGCAGTTCTGTGCAAACAAGTGAATAAGATTTTGTTCGGATTTTTAACCCCGGAGGGTTAGCCACCTAAGATAACCCCAGAAAGTCAGTGCGTCATCGAGGACTGTCTGTCTTATTTCCATTGGGGTCCTCAACCTTGTCCCCCAGGATGCGACCCACATCAGTCGACTAACACCCAGGTACCTACTTGCTGATAGGTGGACAGGACAACAGGTGTAAGGAAACACGTCGAAATGTTTTTACCCCCCCCCGGGAATCGAACCTGGGCCCTCCGTGTGTGAAGCGAGAGTTTTGCCTACCAGGCCACGGGGTCACTAAACCAGGACACGGGGTTAGTTTAATATCTTTATTATGTACCCCATGCTCATCGTGTGGACGGTATTCAAAAAGATTACAGAGGTACATAATGGGTCCAGAGACTGGACCGCAAAGTTTTGATAGTTAAATAACTTACAATGGTAATGAGCTGTTTACAAGTTTATATCTGGTTACAGTTTTAATGAGTTATTTATGCAGACATAAATTAGGTGACAAAAATATTAACTTATATTTTAGTACGGTATGCTTGTAAAAAAAGTTAATTGGTTATGTGTTATTTACAGTGGACAAAATCAGGGTATTTTTTTCAGAATGGTTTGTAATATGCCACTGGATAAAACACTTGATATATCTTGTTTCTGAATTCATTAATGTTATTGCATATATATATATATATATATATATATATATATATATATTATATATATATATATATATATATATATATATTATATATGACGGGAACAACGTGGTCTAGCGTGTTCACTCGGAGCAAGGCGACTTATTTCACTTCACGCATTCTCTTAACTTAGCGTTATTATCATTAATTACATTACAATTCACAAGACGATTTAATGTATCATAATTATTATACACATTAGAGATCACTCCATTAAGATCTGAGACCGATGAGTGATGATTAAGCCAAGGGTAATTTTTCCCAGGACACAGTCCATGGCAACGCGCCAGTCACCCGGTCCTACCCTTATTCACTCATTTTACCACTCTATTACGGTGGTCCTGTAAATCACGTTCCCTCACTCTCCACCAGGAACAGTTACGACACTTCCTATTATGAAATGAGGCCTATATTAATCCTTAGGCCGCCGTGAACGCCAATTTCCTGGTTCCATGCTTTCCCAGCCTCCTCACTACATTCAAAAAACTGCCGCCTCCCCCATGCCCCGAGTCGACCTATACCCCCGCACATCTGCGCAGGTGCAGCGGGAACCCAGTTGGTTCCATACAAAATACAAATACATTTTGACCCAAATCAACACATTAAACACTTATTAGGCACTATAGCTTCGGAAATTAAATAATTTCCACATCCCTGTCTAAGACCTACTTTTGCTGGGAAGTAATCTCCCTCTCTTCTACACACCCTAACTTGAGCCTCACTATCCTCATAAAAACTATTTACAGCAGGGATTACCTGGAGAGGGTTTCGGGGGTGAACGCCCCCGCAGTCCGGTCTGAGATCAGGCCTCATGGTGGATCAGGGTCTGATCAACAAGGCTGTTACTGCTGGCTGCATGCAAGCTGACGTACAAACCACAGCCCGGTTGGTCAAGTACTGACTTTAGGTGCCTGTTCAGTGCCTTCTTGAAGACAGCCAGGGGTCTATTGGTAATCCCCCTTATGTATGCTGGGAGGCAATTGAACAGTCTTGGGCCCCTGACAATTATTTTGTCTCTCAGTGTACCCGTGGCGCCCCTGCTTTTCATTGGGGGAATGTTGCATCTCCTGCCCAGTCTTTTGTTTCATATGGAGTGAT